GCCTACTCCACCACCGAGCCTGCCCTGCCTATCCACTACCGAGCCTGCCCTGCTTATCCATCCCCCAGCCTGCCCTGCCTATCCACCCCCAAGCCTGCCCTGCTTATCTGCCCTGGGGCGCGGCTTCCCCACCCCCCTGCCTATCCATCCCTGGCCTGGCTTCTCCTCCTGGCCCTCCACAGCCCACTGGTCACAAGAGGGAGGAGCTGGGCCCAGTGGCTTGGCTGCCCCTGCCCTACCCCACACAGAGGGGAGTGCAGTGCTTTCTCTGGGTTCTGGCCGGGTCCCCTGCCTGCGACCACACCGGGCTGCGAGTAGGTAGCAGGGCCTGAGCAGGGACAGCTGTGACATGCTCATATCCCCTAGGCTCTCTAAGCGGCACGGAGAAGGCTGACGTGAAGATGGCTGTTATCTCGGAGCAACTGGGCCTCAGCTGGGCTGGTGAGTCTGTGCCTGGCGCTCTCTGCCCCGCGGGGATGCAGACTCCGGCTCTCTGCTGCTCAGTGCACCAGGGCAGGCTTTGCTCGCGCTGCGCCCAGGTCCCAGCAGGGCAGGGCAATGCAGTGCGGGCTGCTGCCCGGCCCAGCTCGCTCTGACATCGAATGAGGTAGCTGGGCTGACAGCAGGCACAAGTTTGCGCTGCCTGTCCGGTGGTGGGACTGTTCTGGGGACTGTGGAGCAATTGGAGGCTTTGCTTGGGCAGCCTCCTACATCTGTGGGCACCCCAACAGCAGCACATGGCTAGGCTGCTGCGGCAGGTGGCTGGGTGTGTTCACTGGGAGCACCGGGTCCACATCCTGCTCTGTCTCCCTGACAGCGGGGCTAGGAAAGAGAGTACAGTCCCAGCCAGTGTGCATGCACACCAGTGCCCCGTCCCCTTGCACGTCTCCGCACGCTGGTGCACCGTCCCCTTGCACGTCCCTGCATGCTGGTGCATTGTCCCCTCGCACATCCCCCTTGCACATGCCCATGCACACATGCCTGTGCACTACCTCTTTGCATCCACACCAGTGCACCATTGCCTTGTGTGCCCATGTACTCTGGTGCACCGCCCTCTTGCGTGGATGTGCACACACACCTTCACATGCACACACTGCTGTGCACCGCCCAGTGGCATGGATGTACACTCTTGTGCACTGCCCTCTTCCATACACGCAGGCACGCACCTGTGTACTCTGCACACCTGCTAGCACGCACACACACCCCATCTCTGTGCCAGCCAGGACAGGATTTTGCTCTGCATTTGTAAGTTTTCCTGCTTCCTGAAGCAGGGCAGCGAGGTCTTTGGCACTGGGTCCCAATCCGGCAGGGGCAGTGCTGATATTGCTTGTTACATTACAGCCATGGCTACCAGGAGGCTCAGGAACTGTCCTTCCCAGCTTTTCCCTAGCTGGAGCAGTTTGTGACCCAGCTGCAGGCAACCAGGCTGAGCCCAGTGGGCCCAGTTTCACATCCGGTGACACTAAATTTGGACTTTCTGCCCTTTTACTCCCCACCCCTTCCCATTGTTCTGTTGCACGGGCGGGATGTCAGCAGCTCTGGGTGGACGTGGGTGGAGACACGTGGAGGACGGCTGGACCTGGGTGGCATCCCCAGGGCTACTTGCCTAGAAGTGTCTCGAGCAGAGGTGCTTCCCCCCTGCTCTCTTTGCTGCACGGGAGCCTGGGATGATGCCTAATGCACAGGCTGTGTTTCCTACAGAGCTGGCCCGGGAGCTGCAGTTTGGGGTGGACGATATCAACAGGATCCGGGTGGAGAACCCCAACTCCCTGCTGGAGCAGAGCGTGGCCCTGCTCAACCTGTGGGTCAGCCGTGAGGGCAAGAATGCCAAGAGTGGGTATTTGCCACCTTCTGCAGGGGCGGGGGCACAGCTAGCACCCCAGGGTTCCACAAGCGCTCTGTGCCGCCAGCCTGGGGCTCTAGCAGGCATGTTGGCCAGGGAGCTGGGCCGGGAGTGGGTAGGCAGGGTGGGCCGGGGCGCCAGGCCAGGTGTGAGTAGGTAAGGTGGGCCAGAGAGCTGGGACAGGTGGTGGATATGCACAGCAGGCCAGGGAGCTGTGCCAGGCATGGGTAGGCAAGGCAGGTTAGGGAACAGGGGACCACTATATCCTATCCAGTCTTTCCCCTCAAAAGAGGCTGGGCCAGTTTACCCATCCCATGACGGAGCTGTGGGGCCGGCCCATCCATAGACATGCAGTGCTTCCTTGCACACGCCATGCTACGCTGGCTCATACGTATGCAGATGTGTGCTGCTGGCTTCCGTGCACAGCTGGCCTGTGCTGGGTCACAGGTCTGCATGCGTATCTGTTCCCAGGCGGGTTTGCAGTTCGAGGATGGCCGAGTCCTCGGGCTGGACCCTCTTTCCAGAGGGTGGGTGAGGCTGGAGTGCTGTGGGTGGGGGCAGCGGGGATAGAGCGGCCTGGCAGGGATGGGCCTGTGCTGCCTTTTGATGACACCGGCTGCTCCCCCTGACAGTGGAGAATCTGTACGCGGCCCTGAGGAGCATCGACCGCAGCGAGATTGTCAACATGCTGGAGGGCTCGGGCCAGCAGAGCCGCAGCCTGAAGGGCGACCGGCATTACACTGACAAGGACTATTCCCTCTCGCCCTCCCAGATGAATGGTGAGTCCCTGGCACTCGGCTGTGAACCCACTGGGGACCCCATGCTCCCGTGGGTGAGTCCCTTGGCAGGGCGGGCATGAGCCAAGCAGAGACAGACACGTCACTGAGACCAGCGGCCCTGCCAGGCTGCTCTGCTTCAGCCGTGCCGAGGAAATGCGAGTTCCCACTGACATCAAGACAGGGGAGCCTCGGGGGCCTGGGGCAGGACTTTGAGCCTGCCTGGGCTGCCCACAGACTGGCTGAGTGTGTGGACAGAGACAGCAGCCTCAGACCAAGGGCCAGGCCTGTGTGGCTCTGTGCTGTGACCAGGTGTGAGTGCGACACAGGTAGACATCCCTGCCTCAGCACGGCTAAGAAAGTGTCGATGCGGCAGCACGAGCTGCCCAAACCGGGCACCCTGGGTCCATAGCCGGGTTGCTAGCCCAGGCCGAAGTCTGCACCACTGCGTCTGCACAATTTGTAGCCTCCCGTGCTGCAGGCGCCATAGGGGACGTCTGCAGTGCAGTGGGGGTGGGCGTGCCCGTACTAGCGCTCTGGGAGAAGTGCAGTTGCAAGGAGCTAAGCGCCCCAGGGCCAGTCCCAACCAGGCTCTAGGAATGTCCTGGGACTGGCCTGCCCCTCCTGCCGCCCAGCCTGCAGCAGCCACACGGCTCCTTTTAACATGCCCATACATCTGCCCATGCTGGAAACGACCCCTCCAGCTCCAGTGTAGACTTACCCCACCCTGTAAGGCCTGACCCCAGCTCTCCAGCCTGCACCCCCATCCTCCTTGGGCCCCTCAGGCTCTTCAGGCTCAGCCTGGGTTGCAGCGTGTTACTAGTGAGCGGACGTGCCCTGCTGGCAGGTCTCTGCCCTCTGCCTGCCTTCTACTGCGAGCTGGGCTCACACCACTTCTCTTGTAGCCTGTGACACCCTGTGCTGGGCAGCAGCATGTGATCAGACAGGGCTGGGGGCCGGGGGCACGGTCAGGCATCTGCAGTAAGTGTCGTGGTCCGGTGTCCCTTTGGGCCCAGGCGGGGGTGGGGGGGGATGAGGCTGGGTGCCGGGGGTGTGGTCGGGTGCCAGCCTTGGCAGCAGGAGTCCCTTTGGCCCCAGTGCCTTGCCCTGGGGTGTAGCCATGAGCTCTGCATGCTGAACGCTCTCTTCCCCCTTGTTCTGTGTTCTCTCATACATGCCATTCAGGGCTGCCAGGTGCAGGCCGCTCCTGTTGATCACATCCTGTCACCTTTCTCCTCTGACCTCCTCCTGACCTCTTGTTCTCTCGTCCTCCACTGCCTGTCTCCACTGTCTCCACCTCAGCTGAGCCCTGGGAGAGCCGCTGTCCTGCTCCGGCGAGTGCATGGCACCAAGGCATTGCCCCCACCTCGTGGCTGTGTGTGTCCGTGTGGCCCTCCATGTGCTTCCCCCAGCAATGCCCCAGGGCCGGCTCCACATGGCACCCCCAGTCCCCCCGCTCTGAGTGGGAGCTGGGCGAGCAAAGCCACCTGCCCGGTGAAGAACCCAGGTGCTGCTGTGCTGTACCAGGCCTGGCCCTAACTCACTCTGTGCCCAGCCCAGCGGGTGATGGCCCGTGCCCAGCACTGAGCCCATGGCTCAGAAGGGTTAGTAGCCAAACGCCCCTCAGAGGGAGTCGTGCCCCCTGCAAGGAAGTGTTGCTGGGCGCCCTGGAACAGCTGTGGTGCAACCGGCTGCCTCAGTTAGCAGCAAGCTGCCAGCACAGCAGAGCCCTGGGCAGCACCGACTCTGGGCCCAGCCAGCAGAGCCCCCAGGCTGTGTGGGCAGCAGAATCGCAGGGGCCGTGCAGGCTGAGGAGGCAGGTGACACATTCTCCGGGTGCTGATGTTGTGGGAGAGGAGGGTGGCGTGGCTCAGGGGAGCTATGAGACGGGAGTGGGGCAGCCCCAGTGCCGGAGCCATTGCAGCCTGGCCAGTCTGTAGGGAGCGACCCAGGCCTGTTCCCTGGTTTGGGCGAGAGGTGATGGCTCTGGAGGTCTGGTCAGGGTGTGCCCAGCATTGGGCACGTCTTGGCTAGTGCTGGTGAGTGCCCTGCTGCAGGGTAAGGACAGCTCTGTGCTGCAGACACGAGTTCAGATCAGAGCCAGTGACTGGGTGCCTGGCACCTGGGCAGAGCAGGGCATGAACAGGTGGAGGCAGCGTGATGTGCAGGGCTGCCCCGTGCACTCAGCCACAAGGTGCAAGGACTGGCCACACTAGCAGCCCCAGAGTGACCGGGGCGGGGTCCTTCGTGCCGGAGCCCCAGGGCTGTGTGGAGCCGGCTTGGTTACAGGGCAAAGCGCCAGCGCAGCCTCAGTGCCAGGGCACAGCTCCCTGCGGAAATGCCTGTGACGTGCTCTCCGTGGGCATGCAAATGGCAGCAGAGGTGCAGAGGTGCCACCACAATGCCCCCTCCCTGCCCACCACAGGTGCTACTGGGATGCCCCTACCCTGCCCCCAAGTGTCCCCAGGACATGCGACGCCCTGTGGCTATCACTGATGGTTGCCTCAGGGCTGTTGGGTAGGAGAGATGTCCAGAGCCCTCCAGGGCCTGCAGGGTCTCTGGGCATGGCCCATCCGTGCCCCACCACTGCCCAGCCGCATCTCCAATTTAATGCCTACCTGGGGCTCAGCGGGTGGCTCAGGAATTGAGCAGCTGCTGCCGGGGCGTTGGGTCCCTGTGCACGCAGCCTCCCCCATGCACAGCTGCTGCGCCTGTAGGGCAGGAGGGGCCTGGCTGGCTAGCTCTGCCTGCAGCCCACAAACCAGCCAGCCCTGATCAGAGGGGCTTCCGAAGCTCCCACCGTCTTGCCTCTGCCCCATTCTGTTTGGGAGCTGCAGTCCAGGGGGATCCTATACCGTCTCTCACAGAGCCAGGCCAGAGTTCAGCCTGGAGGCTTAGCTATGTGGAGGCACAAGACTGGCAAGGGGGCACTGCGGGTCGGAAGTGAGAGATCTCAGCAGGGATGGGGAGGGAGCCCAGGCAGGTCTAGCAGGGAGCTGGGGGACACCAGCAGAGCTGTGGGGCAGGGGAGCCCGGGACAGGGTTAGCAGGGGGCACCGGCAGAGCTGTGGGGCAGGGGAGCCCGGGGCAGGGTTAGCAGGGGGCACCGGCAGAGCTGTGAGACAGGGGAGCCCGGGGCAGGGTTGGCAGGGGAGCCCGGGGCAGGGTTAGCAGGGGGCACCGGCAGAGCTGTGGGGCAGCGGAGCCTGGGGCAGGGTTGGCAGGGGAGTCCGGGGCAGGGTTAGCAGGGGGCACCAGCAGAGCTGTGGGGCAGGGGAGCCTGAGGCAGGGTTAGCTGGGGGCACCGGTGGAGCTGTAGGGCAGGGAAGCCTGGGGTGGTTATAGCAGGGGGTTGGGGGGCACCAGCAGATCGGGGGGGGGGGCGGCTGGCACAGCACCACACCGTGCACTCAGGCTCCAGAGAAGTAAAACACGAGCAGGTGTGCCCGCCCCTTTCAGGAACCCAGCTGGAGGCAGCTCACCCTGCCAAGGGGGTCCTGTTGTCTAACTCACTGGGACCAGCCCAGGGCCAGGTGCTGCCCGAGGCACCTGCCTGCCTCCCTGACACATCCCAAAGTGCCCTCAGGCTGCCTGTGTTCCTGTCTCAGACCCTCCCACTGGGGCATGGGCAGAGCCGCTAGGGGAGCAGTGAAGGGCGCTGGGGCGGTGGCTGCTCTGGGGCGCTCCTCTGCCCTGGACTGTGACACAGGGAGCGCAGCACTGCCCCAGGGGCTGAGGGCAGCTCTCCGTGTCTGCGGAGAACAGCTGCTGGAGCTGTCGCCTCTGTCTGCCCCTGCAGGTTACCCTTCGCTGCAGGATGAGCTCCTCTCCCCTGCCTCCCTGCAGTACACACTGCCGTCCCCGCTGCGTGCAGACCAGTACTGGAACGAGGTGGCCATCCTGGACGCCATCCCTATGGCCCCCACTGAGCAGGACGCCCTGCTGGAGTTGTCCGACATGCAGGTGTGGTCCTCAGGGCTCACCCCCTCACTGGTAACTGCCGAAGACTCCTCCCTGGAGTGCAGCAAGGCCGAGGACTCGGACGCTGTGAGTGAAGGACGCTTCCCGGGGCAGCTGCTGGATGACGTGCACGGCCCGGACCACCTGGGCTCACTGGATCTGGCTGAGGACGACACAGTGGATTCAGATGCCATGAATGGCCTTATCGACCTGCTGGAGCAGGAGGAAGGTCAGAGGTCAGAGGTGAAACTGCCAGCGTGTGAGCGCCAGGCCGGGCTGGCGGGGGAGCAGGGCTCGGAGGATGAAGTCTCTTTTGTTTCAGGCCAGCAGAGGGTACAGGCCAGGATCCTGGAGTCGCCAACTGTGAGCCGAGTCGTGGAGAGGAGCAAGGGCAGGTAATGCTCCCTGGCCAGGCTGCCTGGAGCTGGGCAGGGCAGCCCGAAGGACCCCTGGGGTGCCCATGCCATGGGGCAGGGCCCTGGGGGGAGATGGGCAGTGCAGCTGCTGCGCCGTAGGCCCCCGTCTGAGCATGCTCCCCCAGAGAGCCGGGCGCGCACTGGGCCAGGGGAAGGACTGGATCAGCCAGGGAGCTGCCCTTGGCTTTGGGAATCCTTCACAACCACCTGGGGTGCCAGCCCAGCTCCAGGGGATGGTTGTGGTGCTCTTGTTGGCAGGGAGCTGAGCTCCCGACGAAGGTGCTCTGCCAGGGCGGAGGGCTGCCTGGCAGTCCCTGCCGCTTCTTGCCATAGTGCTTGGGGCAGGGCGTGCCTGACCCTGTGTAGCATGGAGGGCCTGGCTGACCTATAGGCCAGCTCCCGCCCCTTCCTCACCTGCTCCTTGTGCCATCAGACAGGGCGCGGCTGCCCGTGGGTGTCTCTGGAGGGCGTCTGTTGCTCCGTGGGTGGGGTGGGAAGTAGGATGTAGGGCTAGTTCGAGATCCACGTTACAAACAGGGGCTCCGAGTGCAAAGGCCGGTCAGGAGGGCCAACAGCCTGTGCGGGGCAGGAGAGCGAGGCTGGGCCCACACGGGGGGCACTGTGCCGGAGGGTAGAAACTGACGGTGTCTCTCTCTCTGTCCTTGTTCCTCTCTCTGCTGCCAGGCTGAGGGACTGGAATGCAGAAGGCTCCTTTGTCTCCTGCCTGCAGGACCTGCCTGAGGGCTCCTGGCAGGAGGGGGTCCCCAGAAGCCCACGTCTGCTGCCCAGAGCGGCCCCTGGTGCAGCCCCCCAGGGGAGGGGCCAGGAGCAGGTTCTGGGGCCCCCGGCCGAGCGTCTGCGAATCGATCCCCCCGAGGAGAGCGACTGGCAGCCCCAGCACACGAGGAGCCAGGACTACAGCAAGTGGCTGGAGGAGGCGGATAGCAGCTTCTTCAGGCAAACAAGGGTACGAGGATGGCAGCGAGAGCCAGCCCCCGGGGGCTGGGCATTGCAATAGAGCCCACTGGCTGGAGCCCCTCGCTGTGTATGAGGCCCACGGTGCCCTCACCAGGGGCCAGAGCGCACACAGGAGTGAACGCCAGGCTGCCCTGTCTGGGGAACCTGCACTTCTTGAGCAGAGGCACTAGAGCCTGGTGATCTGCCCAGCAGCTGGGGTCCCTCAGCAGGATAACCCATGCTTTGGACAGAGTGCTGGGCGAGTGCCTCCTGCTGCCCTGCCCCCAGCTCCGGGCACTGCCCCCTGCCAGCCTCCCTGCCCTGGCTCCTGCGGGGGAAGGGGCCCAGAATAGCCTGGCTTGCGCTAGACCCAGGGGTTTGATTTCACATATGAGCCTCTGCCTCTGTTCTTCATTTATAACCCAGACAGCCACCCTGCATGCTTCCTAATTGGGTAGCTCCCGGGGCGCCTGCCCTCTCCGGGTCAGCCAGCACCAGGCATGGAGAGTCCAGAAATAGAGCTGGCCCGGATGGCCTGGGGCAGGGCTAGGGTTTTGGGAATCCTGCCATGGCCAGGCAGAGCTGGGCAGTGCTGGGGCAGGGCTAGTACAGAATGGAACGTGAGCAGGGTGGGCATGGCGTAGCAGGCCCTGGGGTGCTGCGGGGTGCCCTGGACCCACTCCTCCCAGAGCACTACCCAGGAGCCCCAGGGTGGGGGACGTGGGAGGAAGAGCCCTGCAGTGAATGCAGCGATGCTGCGGGCTGGCTGGCTTGCAGCCCCTTGGCTGGAGTCACTGAGGGGCTGCATGACTTCTCCGCACTCCTTACAAGTCTGCTGGGGGGTGAGAAGTCCCGGCCCCAGTCCCCCGCAGGCGCCTAGGCTCATATCACCCATGCTGCCCTCCTGCCCCATCTTCAGCCAGCCCGCAGAGGCGCTGGGAGGTGGTGGCTCCCCCTCTGCCTGCGGGGGAGGGGCCATGGCTGTCAGTCTGAGGCCAGATGACTTTGACAGAGCTCTGAGTGCAGAGGACAAACCCACCTGCCTGCCCAGCAAGTGGTGCAGCCAGCTGGTATGCAGCGGCTACAATTACAGCAGCCTGCCCCAGGCTGTGCGCAGAGCAGGGGGCAGCCGAGCCAGAGGCAGGGTGCACACGCCCCACCGCAGAGCAACGCCAGGGCTGGGATCTAGGCTCTGGGCTCAGCAAGTGGCCATGCGCTTGTGGCTGTAGCAGACGCACCATGTTGGCCTTCCTGACCCAGCTGCTGATCACCCTGGTGCTGCTGGGCTTCTTCCTGGTCAGCTGCCAGAATGTCCTACACATTGTCAAGGGCTCTGTGCGCTTCCTGCTCAAACATGTCCACCAGGAGCTGGACAAGGAGCTGGGCGAGAGCGATGGGCTGACGGACGACGAGGAGTCCATCTCCACCAGGGTGGTCCGTCGGCGTGTCATCGTGAAGGTAACACGGGCGGGAAGTGGGAGCCCCGAGGCAGCGGGCACTGCCCTGCCTGTGGGGCTGTTGCTGGCCCCAGGGGAGCCATGCAGAGCCAGCCTGGCTCAGCACCTCCTCTTCCAGCTCAGGGCGCTGAGCCTGGCTTGTTCCTGCGTGCGCAGAGTGTAGCACTAGCGTGCCCTGGCGCTGGCCCTGCTCCTGCGCTTCCCAGTGAGGGGGCTGGTGGGGTGTGTGCAGGGGGTTGGCAGTCGGCGGGGAAGTCGGATTTGGTGTCACTTATGCAGGGGCTGGGGGCTTTTGCACTTGGTGCCCCGCAGTGAACACAAGGGCTGCCTGTGGGGTGTTGGCTCCTTGCCCTCCCCCTCACTGCCTCGCTGTGTTCTCCCCTCTGACGCTGCAGGGCAATCAGGTTCAGGATATTCCGGGGGAGCAGGTGACCGAGGAGCAATTCACTGACGAGCAAGGCAACATTGTCACCAAGAAGGTGAGTACGGGCCAGACCCAGAGCCCCCCAGTCTCTGCCCAGCATCTGCCCTGCTCTCCCTGCTCCCAGGGATGGATATTCTTCCCTGGAAAAACCCCTCCCCCCAGCCCTGTCTCAGGGGAGCAGCGTGCCCCAGCGTGGGGTGCCGATGGCAGGGCAGGGCCGAGCGGGAGTAGGACCGGCAGGGTGCTGTGGCCGCGTCCCTGGGGGTGTCTGGGGCCTAGCCTGGCCTGTGGCAGGCAGCTCTAATGCCTGCTCTCTGCAGATCATCCGGAAGGTGGTGCGGCGGATCAGCGCGGGCGACGAGGAGAAGGAGGTGATTCTTGAGGGCTCTCTGCAGGAGCCCCAGGAGCTGGAAGCTGAGGCAGATCACTTTATGAAATATGCCATCCTGCATCAGGACAGTCTGGGCACCAAGGTACAGAGCCGGCTCCTCTCCCGGCCCTTCGCTAGCTCTGGGCAGCACAGCCATGCGCCCGGCCATGCAGGGCTCCCTGAGGGCTCTGGCTGTATCCTCCCTGGCCTCCTCTCCTTCCCTGTGCCCTTCTGCTGTACCTCTGGGGCTGCAAGGGACCACGCTTCCCACCTTGCTGCAGCCTTCTCCTTGCCAGCTTGCTCTCCCATCCTCCTCCTTGTCCTCGCTCTGTCTGTCTGTCTGTGTGACGCCTCCTGCTTCCTCTCTCTGCTGCTCTCCCCAGGAGGAGGTGCGAGGGCACGTCCCAGAATCGGAGCTGATCGGGGGCAGGATGGGGGCTTACATAGTGAAACGAGCCAGCCTGAAAAGGGGAAAGCAGTGACCCCCCCCCCAGGGCCTCTTCTGAGGTAATGCCACCTTTGTTCTGATTACAGATCCACTCTCTGTGCCATGTGCCCTGCATGGAGCCCACCCAGCCACTGTGTGCTCCCCTGGCCCAGAGGGGCAGGAGACACAGCTGCTCCATTAGGGCATGCTGGAGAACAAGCCCAGAGCTGGCTGCCTCTTCCCCTCTGCTGCCAAGCCTGCGAGCCCCATGCTGCTCCTGGGGAAGGGGGCTGGCTTCTCTGCACACTGCACGCCGTCTGTCTGTCTGGCTCACATGGCATTCCAGGGGAGGGGTGTGTCAGGGTGTCACCTTGGTTACGACAGCCAAGGGCATTGTTACCCCAGGTTACAGTGTACCGTGGGGACCGCAGTGGTGTCACCACGGTTACGACAGCCAAGGGCATTGTTACCCTGGGTTACAGTGTACCGTGGTGGCCATGATGGTGTTACCATAGTGACAGCATTCCAGGGGATTGTAACCAGTAACTACAGCCTGCAGTACTGTGGAGATTGCCCTTGGCACAGTCCTTCCCTGCCAGCTCTCGGGCTGAGCTTTGCCCTGGGCCCCACTCCCCATTGCTCTGCGTGCTCACCTTGCCGCTTGCAGAGGCCCCGGTGCTGCTGCTATAAATAGCCCCAAATGCTGTCCCGGTGACAAGTTGATGACATCCCAGCCTGTCAGGCAGCCCCTGCGCTGTCAGCTGTGATCCGGAGCTTGTCCTGGAGCCTGGGTCTGGGGTTAGGTTTCCTGGAATGAGGTGCCATGTGCCCGGGAGCATGGGGCTGACACACGGCAGCTCCTCCTCATGTCAAACACCTTCCCGGCGGCTGGGTGCCGCAGGGAGCTGCGCATTGCCCTGGGGGAGGCCAGCCCCTGCTCATAGCACCCATAACTCACAGCCGCTTCCGCCTGCCACACGAGCCGCTTGCACCCGCAGCACCCATTGGGCGTTGATGTCTGGCAGTGCTGTAACATGCCATGCAGGGCCTTCTCAGGGGTGTCATGAGGGGCTCTGGGCACCAGAGGGCAGCAGGGAACCTACAGCTTGCAGGCGGCTGCAGGTAGGGCTGGGGGCTGTGAGCAGTGGTGGGAGGAGGGTGCAAGCAGTGGCCCATGGCTGGGGGGCCATGTGCCCAGAGTGGAGTGTAGGGAGCAGGCAGCGGTGAGGGAATAGGAAGGTCACTGTGCCCATGGCAGGTATGTGTGCAGTAGTGAGGGGGCGGGGGGCTGCATGCCCGTGGCAGGGTGTCCGGTGCATTGTTCCTGGGGGGTGAATGGGCAGAGGGGGCAGTGGGGGCTGATCTGCAGCAGGACCCCTTCCCAGCTGCCTCTATCCTGCTAGAGCACAGCCAGGCACCGACTGAGCTGGGGGATGGGTGCCTGCCCCACAAGGACAGGCGCTCCCTCGGGTCTCTGTCGTTTGTGCCTGTGCTGCCGGAACACAGGTATCCCCCAGCTCATTTCTCTGCAATGCTCCTGGTAGGGAGTCCTGGGGCGGGCTGTCCCCCGGGGCAGGGCCTCCCTGCTCCCTCAGCCGTGCTCTGCCCAGCCAGCTGTGCTGCCTGCACTGCATTCACCACCACACCCTGCCCAGGGACCACCTCCCCTCCCAGACACCACAGGGCAGTAAACCCCAGTCTGTGCATTCTGCCTCACGCCTCTGCATCCCCCACACAGCCGCCTCGGCTGAGCACATGCAGACTGCCATTGCCGGGGCCTGTTCCCTTTGAGCCGGTAGCTGACTCCTACTGTTCACAGCTGGGGCTCCAGGCCCTGAGCAATGAACAGGCGGGGGCTGGTTTCAGCCGGCATCTCGCCCTTTGCTGGGTGCTGCAGCGTTGGGTGCCAGAGGGTCTCACATCCAGCCAACTGCCCCCTCCCTTTGTCCCTGCCCCCAGCACCAGCCAGTCCCTCTGAGCTGCTATGGCCATGCCTGTAAGTGGAGCATCGGGTCATGCCTCCAGCTCTGGCCTACTGCGCTGCGGGGGGCCCCCAGCCGGGCGCTGTTTGTAACCCGAGCTCTGTTTTTTCTGTCCTTCAGGATCTCACCTCCACCCCGAACCACTGAACTGCAGCCACGTGCGGCCAGCCCCGCGAGGAGAGGCGAGGCGAGAGCGGACAGGCGATGGGAGCAAGGCTGGCTGTACATGTTGATCTAGGCTAATGGCATGACTTCTGTAAGAGACTTACTTCCCGTCCTATTCGCATGACTGACTGACTGCCAACGCATGAGCCACAGTTCTTCCTACGGACGGGGACCCCAGGAGCCAGCAGCACCCGGGGCAGGATTTCCCTGGCAGCGACAGGACTCTGCTGCGCACACCCTGACTCCGGACAGAGCCTGCGGCTATGAAGGGCTGCCCAGGGCGGGGGCATCAGCTCCCACCTATCCCTCATGTTGTCTCTTGGCTGGGTTTTGCTGCTTCATCCCCTTCCAAGGAGTGTGTCGGGAGGGGGGATGTCAGAGCCTAAAGGGGCTGCGGGGGGAGGGCCGAACCGCAGCTCTCGAGGGGGTGCCCCTGGCAAGAGCAGGGGCAGGGGATTGGCTCGTGGCTGCCCTGCCCCTGTCTCTCCAGGAGCTTCCCCTAGTGTGAGTGTGCAGCTCCCAGCAGCACTGAGTTCCTCGCTTGTGTTGAAAGTGTAAACTGTACAGTACTCAGCCTTGTGTATATGAACAAATCAATACTATGCAACGCCCGAGGGCACGCAGCGGTGTGCAGAGCACTGCCCGCTCAGTGCCCGCATACCTCGCCGGCTGTAGGACAGGGATGGCCCCTCAGCCCCCATCAGGGAGGAGCTCTGGCCAGTGCAGCTGGGAAGCTGGAGGTGTCAGAGGGCAACAGAGCCAAACCTCCCAGTGTCAGCCTGGCGCTTTTACTCCCCTTGGCCTTGTTCATTTCCTGACACCCACCCGGGGCCGGGCAGGGGGCCGGGGCACCTGTGCCAGCCCCTGCCCACTTTGGTTACAGATGGGGCAGAGCTGAGGGCCTCCCACCAGGCCCTGGTGCCCCAGCGCGGAACGGGCAGGTGGCGAGCACTGGCACAGCCCAGCACCTGCCTCAGCCCATGCTTGGCTCTACCCAGCACAATGGCTGTTCAGGAGAGATGCAAGGAAACAGCAGTGGGGTTTGCACCCCTGTCCTCTGCACCATTCGTGAGGCCCTCCAGGGTCCCACGGCCTCTCTGAAAGGCTAAAATCAGCACAGCCCCCGTGTCCCCTGACCCTTCCAGGACCAACCCCCAGTGCCCAGGGCAAAGGAGGCCCATCAGAGCAGCTCTCCCAGGCTCTTGCACTGCGTCAGCACCACAAACCCTACTGCTGTAGTCCAGCCGGAGCAGACAGGGTCACCCTGCGACCTGGAGTCTCAGCCCCAGGCGCTTTAACTGGGGCCAGCAGAGCTCTGTCCCAGGCTGGCCCCTTGACTCAGCTGTTCCTGCCAACAGCTCTGTCCTGGCAGGAGGCTGGGGGTGGGGTGGGGGGGCAGCTACCTGGGCTATTTAAAGGCGCTCAGTAGATGGAACCTGTTGTGACGTGTGACCCCAGGCGGGCTGGTAGCAGGAAGGGGGTGCTGGCTGCCATGTCCCTCACCTCCCCTAAGGGTGCAGGAAGGAGCCAGGCAGAAACAATTGGACTTGCGCTTTCCCCAGGAAGTCGCCATGGCCCCATCTCAAAGGGGCTGACGTGTTTCCCGGTGGCAACACCCAGGCCGAGCCCACCACTGGAGCCGGGCTGCAGCCGCCATGCCCAGCAGGCCTTGGCTGGTGGGCATGTCTAGTAGAAAAGCCCTCTGCTCCCCTGCAGGCTGTGGAAGTGGGGTAGCTGCAGAGACGCGACTAGGCCAGCCCTCTCCTCAGAGAGCAACAAACCACGTAGGGTACAGACCGTCCATCCATAACCCTCCGCTCTGTAACATAATGTCCCTAGAATGGCTGACTCTGATAGCATCTCCGTAGAGTCTAGTGCGGGCCCCCTGCTTTGGCCTCTATACTCCGTAGGGAATGCTCCACTGCACTCGGCCGGCCCCGCGGGAGCCGCTGCTTCGCGCTCTGATTGCTAGTAGGAGCTGGTAGGGGCGGGGGCGCGCTCGACATGACGCCTAGAGAATGCTGCAGGCTGTGCACTAGACGCTTTTTAGAAGTTTTAAAATAATTTTATTTCCTTTTTTACTGTTATGACAATGAGCCTTTTGGCTCTCCCTGCCCCCATCTTAGCCTCTGATGTATAGACCATTCTCCCTGGACACCAGCTACCAGATTACAACTTAATAAAGAAACCAACACGAGCTGGGCCTTGTCTCTGCTTCTCTGCAGGGGGGCAGGGGTGTCCTGGGCAGACAGCAGCTCCCTCCCTGGGTTCCCCATTGCCTGGCCAAATGGAAGGAGGGGGTAACAAGGCTGCAAATCTGGTGATCAAGTCCATGTCCTGCCGTACATGCACACCACTGCTTCCCCACTCACCAGGGTAGGTGGGAGGGAGAGCTGCAAAGAGAAAGGTGCCCAGGGCAGCAAAAGATTCAGGTCTGCTGCCCCAGCACAGGGCGGTCCCCTTGAAGGTGGGCCCCAGCAGTGGCATCCTCTGGGGATGTGCCGAGGCCTGGAGGATCGATATCCTGGTGGGACACAGGGTAGAAATACCCACCCGGACAGCACCAGCCCTGTGCGGGGAATGACGTCACCACCCCTGCGTCTCCTGCTTCAGCTGCTGCCTTGTGGGAGGGCCACCCGGAGGCACAGCCAGGTGCACTGGCTGCTTTCATTGTGGCTGCAATGGCATCTTTCCTGTGACCTTTGCCTCCCACCCCCGTCCCGTCAGAACAGTGGGGACTGGCCCATAGCTCTGGCCATGTGGGCACCTGTGCACAGAGCCCCGTGCGCACACACAGCAGGCCTCTGGCTGGATTGAACAGCACCAGCTCGAAGGAGGGAGCTAGGCACTAGCTTCCTGGTTGGTGCCATTTGTTAATCATGTTTTCCTGCCTGGGCAGGGGAAGGGTGTATTTGCATGTGTGCACGCATGACTGTGCATGCAGGGATAGATGTATGGCGGGGTGGGGGGGGCGTGTGCAGGACAGGTGTATGGCTGGGGACGCGTGCAGGGACAGGTGTGGTGTGGGGCGCGTGCAGGGAGAGATGTGATGTGGGGTGGGGGGCACGTGCAGGGACAGGTGTGGCGGGGGGCGCGTGAAGGGACAAGTGTGGCGGGGGCTGGCAGGCTGGGGCGGGAGGACACAGCTTGTACAAGTAGGTATGAGTAATACTAGAAAATGGAGCCCCCAGGCTGGGGCAAGCGCCCCCCCCCCAGTCATGGAGCTGACACACCACAGGAGCCAGCTGTGGTGCCTGCAGAGCCGTGCGCTGCAGCCCAAGGGATGAGGCCTTGGCTGCTCGCACCGCCCCACGGATGCTGTCCAGCAGCGCAGGCGGCTGCGTGGGCCCTTGGGTCAGACAGGGAGTGACATGGCCTCTGCCCTGGAACCCCGCAGGGCCCAGGTGCCAACCACAAGCCAGCAGGCATTGGGAGCTGCACCCCAGACACATGCGTGCCCCCCCCCGTACACACAATACCGCCCATACACACCTGCACAACACACAATAGCTCCCTCCCCGCACACACGCTCTATCACATGCAGCCCCACCATGTACACACCAGCCATGAACAAATACTGGTGCACACAGGTATGGAACTCCCCCAGCTGAGGCTGGGGCGCTGCACACACAGGCAGCCCCATGCGCTGTGCACACAGACAGACATGCACAATCGCCTACACCCAGCTGCACACACGGCCGCACACCCTCTGGTCCAGACAGGCCGATGCTCACTGACCCCGTGGTCCCTGCACACACCTGCATGGTCCGGTCCGGCCCTGCCCACCCTGGGCTCTGGGCCTCGTCCCTCACTGTGGCCAGTGGGCAGCCAGGCGCAGCCCCAGGAGCTCTGAGCCCAGCAGCAAGCGGCTGATTATTTTTTTATAGCTAATCTTTCAAATTGCAATTTGTCTGGGACGAGCCAATCCAGGGCCTGCCCTGTCACCCAGCCAATGGGAGCTTAGCCCCAGCAGCTCAGCCAATCGGGCCCCAGTATTCTAATAGCCCACACCTTTATCAGAGAAATGTTGCTTCTCCTGAAGTTAAACTTCTGTGGCAGGGACCTGGGTGCAGGTGCTCTGGGGTCAGCCTGGCCAGCCGGCCCCGGCATCTCATGGGCTTGGGCCTCAGCCTTGGACAGCACCTGGCAAGGTGCTCCCAGACCAGCCTGCCCCCCAGGAGCCCGCCTGGGTCACGTGGCTACCGTGGTGCCTGCTGCCTGGGCAGTGCCAGCAGCTGACGCCCAGGCCGGGCTGTAGGGAAACAGCAGGATTGTGGCCAGCTGGCACGGCCCCCCACTGAGCCAGGCTGCCTGGGATGGCTTTGCTAGCACGTGGTACGCAGCTGGGGCGCTAGGGGCCGGCTTGGTGCATTCGCTGGCCTCTGCCAGGGCGAAGCAGCGCCATGGACTCCAACCTGCAGGGGACTTTCCTGCTCAACAGCCCCTCGCTGGCCCCCTTCCCGGAGGCGAAGGCCCCCATGTGCCAGTATGCGGTGCAGAACTCCTTCTACAAGCTCAGCCCGCCAGGACTCAGCGCCCAGCTGGCAGCTGGCACGCCGCACGGCATCACCGATATCCTGAGCCGGCCAAACAGCAGCCTGCTCTCAGCCTACCCCCACGCAGGCGGCTTCAACGGCCTGGGCTCCCAGCCCGTCTACTACGGATCCCAGGTGGGGCCCTTCGCCAAGGCAGGGAGTGACTACCCATCCCGGGGCAGGGACTGCTGGGCAGACCCCGGTCAGGACTGGCGAGGAGGCCGACCGTGCGGCAGCAGTAAGTACCTGGCGTGGCACCGCAGCTGAGGGGGCGGCGGGGGGCTGGCAGGAGCCACACGCTGATGGGGCCCCACAGGCTTGGCAGCATGAGGCCAGATGCAGAGGTTTAGCTCAGCGGGCCCCACCAGCCCATGCCCGTACCAACTGCCCCAGCCCAGCCCGCCTGCTCCCCACAGCCCCGGACTCTGCTCCCACCCTGGGGCAGGTGCCAGGCGCTTGGGGCAGGGCCATCCCCCACGGGACCGTGCTGCTGGGGCGGTCAGAGACAGCTCACCAGGGCCTAGCCCTGCCCCCTCTACTCTGCCCAGCCATAACCCACTCTGAGGCAGGGCTGGGAGAGCCCCGGAGCTGTGCTCAGAGGCTGGTGAATGCCCGTGCTGAGCACCATGGTGGGTGCCCGAGGAGGATGGCAGGTGACAGCACAACGGCTTGCCTGGGCCACTGCTGCTGGGACCTGAGTCACTGTTACGCACCAGCTGGGGGGAGGCAGGGAGAGGTTAGAGCCGGACTAGGGCAGGGCAGAAATCAGTGTCCTTCCTCCCGCAGGGACAGAGCTGAGCCCCCCAAGGAGAGGGGCTGAGCCTCAGAACCCTGAGCTGGGAGCAGAGCCCCCCTCCCCCTGCCCCCGCTGGGCGCCTGCACGGGCGGCAACGCTGCTCTCTTTGCCACCAGCGCGAGCTCCAGGACGTGCTGCATTCAGCCCACGGGCAGGGAGAGGAGCCGGCTCAGGGACCACCTGGCTCAGGGGAGAGGGTGGGACAGCAGGACTGGGGCAGAGCCTACCCCCCCCACCGCCCAAGGAATGAGTTGGATGAGCACTGGGGAGAGGGGATTGATTGATTGATCCCCACCCCTGTGGGGGCCCTTAGGGGCTCAGCACCCAACATGGACCCGGCATGTGGGTGCCCCGGAAAGCCTGGCCCTGCAGCTATAAGCCCCTGTCCCAGAACACCAGGGCGGCCAGCATGCGGGGAGCCCAGGCCCTGAAGGACGGGCTGCCCTGGGGCACTTCCCCATTGCTCACACTAGCACAAGCCCTTGGACCATGAGTGGCTGCTTTAAGCCGGCCAGAGCAGCTGGCCCTGACTTGGGAGCAGCCAGGATGGGCGCCTACAGGTGAATAGCCCACTGGCCGCATGCCCCCGGCTGGCTGGGCGAGGCAGCGTGTGCGCCCCACTCACTGCCGGGCACTGGGGTGCCCTGTGGCACAAGGGCCGCTGGGCCTCTCAAGGGCATTCGGTGTCACTCGTGGGGGTGGGGCTTGGACCCTGTTTCCTGATGGAGGCATGGGGCGGGCCATCCCATGTGGCAGTGATGACAGCATCCGAAACGGGCCCAGCAGTAACGCCCTGTATTGGGCATGCCATTCTGACCCCGCTCAGGGGACAGAATGGCGTGCCCAATACAGGCTGTTACTGTCACCCTGGAGGCTGGGGGGACAGGGAGCAGCCCGCTGGGGGGGGGGGGGGGTGTTACTGTTACCCCGGGGGTGGGTGTGTCCTGCTCTGGAGGGGTGTTACTGTCGCTCTGGGGGGGTTACCAGCTCCCTGGGGAAGGCTGCAGGGCACATTCCCCTCTGGGGGGTTACTGTTACCCGGGGGGGAATGAGGCATGTCCTGCGTTGGGGGGGGGGGTACCGTCACCCCGAGGGAAAGGGGGGGCCGTGGGCCACAACCCACTCCGGGGGGGCTAGCGTTAGCCTCGGGAGTGGGGGCTGCAGGCACAGCTCCCCTGGGCTCCTCGCGTCCTGCCCAGCCACACCCTCTGGGGCAGTAGGTGCCTGGCTGGCCAGCTCACGAGGCACCAGCCCCCCGCACTGACCGGTCCCCTCCCTCCGCCAGCCCCGACTCACCTGGCCGACAGCATCCACAAGAAGAAGCACACGCGCCCCACCTTCACCGGCCACCAGATCTTTGCGCTGGAGAAAACCTTTGAGCAGACCAAGTACCTGGCAGGGCCTGAGCGGGCGCGTCTGGCCTATTCCCTCGGCATGACCGAGTCGCAGGTGAAGGTGAGTGAGGGCCCAGGGCCAGCGCTGGGACTCAGGGGCCGGGCGGCCCAGGGCTGTCTTGTTAAAGGGGCCAATGGAGACTGACCCGAGCCCCCTCAGGGCCAGGCTGGATCCTTAGGCAAACTGGTCTGTGTGGGGCGCTGGTTCGCTGGGCACTGAGGGGCCTGGCTAGGGCAGCTGGGGCTGGTCACCCCCCAACAGCAGAGAGCTGGGATGGGGGCCCATCAGCTCAGTACAGCCCTAACGCGCTCCCCATCCCGGGCCAGGTGTGGTTCCAGAACCGACGGACCAAGTGGCGGAAGAAGAGCACGCTGGAGCCCTCGTCCTCCTCGCAGCGGGCGGTGGGCGAGCGGGCCGCCTCTGAGACCGATGACGACGAGTACAACAAGCCCCTGGACCCCGACTCGGACGACGAGAAGATCCGTCTGCTGCTGAGGAAGCACCGGGCTGCCTTCTCGGTGCTCAGCCTGGGAACCCACAGCGGCTGAGCCCCCAGCCCCCTGCAGCGCCTGGCACTGGCCCCGTGCCCGAGACGCCTGTGCACCAGTCTGCACGCCGGCTGCTCGGAGCCAGAGACACGCAGAGCAGCGCCCGAGCTGGCAGGGGCTGCTCTGAGCAAGAGGGGTCGAGCCGTGAGGTACAGGGTCCTGGAGCCTGCCTCCTCCCCGGCTGAGTCGTGAGGGGACAGGAGCAGCCCTGACCCCACAGGAGCTGCCAGCGCAGCCTTGGGCCATAGAGCCAGGCTGCAAATGGGAAAGGGGGGGCTCTGCCTCTGTCCCTGCCCCACGCTGGGAGGGGGCTGCCCCCAACCTGGGCAGGAGGGAGCCGGGCTCCAGCATGTCCCGGGTTGTTGGTGTTACAGACCTTGCCGGGCCATGAGCAGTGATGAAATAAAGGTGCCAGCCCCCTCTGCATCTGAGCAGTTATTTGACTATGGCGCGTCCGTGGGTGCAGCTGGCTGGGGCAGTAGCAGAGTGTCGACGGCTGGGCTGCCTGGTGGGGGGAGGGGTTAAGCTGTAACCCATTGAACCCCCCACTGAGCAAAGGGTCCCTGCGGGGGCTGCACCGAGAGGCGGCTGGCCTGGGCCTTGGCTCAGAACGCATCCGGGGGGCGGCGCTGGGGACACTCAATGGGGAGCAGCCAAAAAGACGCTGGCACGCAGTCCCGACAGCACTGCTGTGGGGAAGGGTGCAGTCCTGGAGCCGCCAGCACTAGATTCTTGCGGGTACATTATTTATTAATTAATTAATTTGAAGTTTGACCTGGGGCGTTGCCCCATCTTTCCTCATTAGCCCAGCCCTGCTCTCTGCCCCATGGACTCAGCAGGCCCTGCGTGCTGTCACCCTGCTCCCGCCTGAGTCAGTGCCGGTCACTGGGCCGGGCGAACCCGACCCGCGCGGCTCCATGCAGGGCGGGTACTGCGGCAGGTGGGGTCTGAGGCCGGGCCAGCGGCGGTTCCAGTGGCACTGTTCATGCACAGGCACTAACACTGTGGGTGCTGCTGCCCTGAGCCACAGAGACCCAGCCCAGCAGTAAGGGGCGATGGCCATGGGATGCTGGGGAGCCACCCAGACAGGCCAGGAGCAGCATGACCAGTCCCAGGTGAGAGGTTAGGCCAACAGCCACAGCAACACTGTTGTACACCAGCCTCTCCCAGCCGGGGTGCTGTGGGGAGCAGGGTCAGCGCCCTGGAGGGGGAGGGGAGCTCTGGGTTTCTTTGCAGCAGGTAGCTCTCGGGTGCTCAGCATACCCTGAGCTACTGCATGAGGCACCAGTTCAAAAGTCGCTCGTTAGGCCTCTTGTTGGAACATATTAGCAGCAAATAAATACCATTTATCTTGGGGCGGTGAGTGAAAGCCCATTCACCTGTCGCAGCCACACGATTGATGCTGTGTCAATAGCAAAGGAGTGTTTACTGCCACTCCAGCCTGCGCACGGCCTCCGTCCACCCTGTGCACAGGTCACAAGCAGGCGTGCGCAGAGCAGCGTGTGTGAGCATGTGCGCGCTCGCCAATGCTAGGCCCCAGACCAGCTTGCCCAGCCCCTCTTGGGCTGCCTGCAGGGTGTGTATGGGCTGCCCCCAGGGGGCTGGGCTGGCCTGCGCTCAGAGCTGGAGCCAGGCTTGCTCTGCGGTGCACTGGGGGGTGGGGGTGGGCTACACACCATATGTTCAGTTGAAGTACTGGCACAGTCCCTGCACCAGGGGATGTGTGCACACTTGTGCAAGCATGCAACATTCCTGTGTAAAAACGGGTCTCCTGCTCCTACTGCACCAACCATGGGCTGGCCAGAATCTGACCCTGCATCCGCGGGCCTGGGTGCGGTAGCCCCTGGGGCGGGGCGGGGGGGGGTGTAATTTGGGGTGGGTGGGAGGGGGAGGCTGTTGTTGTACAAGCCAGCCCCAGTGCAGCTCTTTTCCCATGGGTTTGGGCTTTCCTCTCAGTTCCAGGCATCGCAAACTGGTGCAGGGGGTTGCAATGCCACTCAGATTTGGCCTGGCTGCCCCCTGTCATGCACAATAGCATGGGTGGGGAGCTGGCCACAGCCCCACAGGACAGGAACTCTCGCTGCAGGGTGAGGGCGGGGCAGGCTACCATTCCACCGCCCGGGAGGCATTAAGGTGGCGATGCCAGGGCAGAAGGTGCTGCGGCAGGTGCCAGGAGGGCGAGGGAGTAGTGGAGGAGGAGGCTGGCCTGACTTTACGCCTCCCCACAAACAATTTGGTCCCTGGGTGAACTGCAAAAAAGACAGACTGCAGTTGGTGGGTCACCTTGGTACACGGTTTGGGCCTCGCAGTGTTGGCCATGCCAGGACAGGGGGCCCTGGCCAGGTGCATGCGATGGGCCTGGGCACCCCCAATTTTGAGCCATGTGTGCGTCACTGTGCGCTAGCAAATAACCAGTCCCGATAAGCTCGCCCACTTTCCAACAGTGCGAGCCAATAACGGCGGCCAGCTGGGAGCAAACATGCTGCAGCGTCCCGGGGAGGAAATCGATCGGAGATAAGGTGTTGTGGGCCATCATATAGCGATTAGTATGGGAGGGGTGGGGGGGGACACCTTTAGCCAGGCAGCAGAACCCAGCTGCCATGACCCACTCGGGGCTGGACCCCAGCGCACCCCCAGCAGCCCCCGCCAGTCCTCACGGCCCTGCACCCACTGCCAATGCAATGCAGCCCCAGAGTTACAGCACAGCCTGTCTGCTGGTGCCACGGCACGGTCCCCTGCCCAGCCCCCCCCCGCCACGGTACACCCCCCCCCCAGTGCCACTGCCCAGCCCCCCCATGCCACGGCCCCCTGCCCAGCACCCCCGCCACGGTATGCCCCCCCAGTGCCACTGCCCAGGCCTCCCCATACCATGCCCT